TATTCCCAAAATGGAGATGATGTACAGGTAGGAGACAAGAGAACACAGGGCTTACAGAAACCCAGCTATGATGTTTATTAGCTTTGGGCTGTTCCAGCAAACCCTGAGCTCTTTCCAGCTGTGCAGTCCTGATATAGCAATTTTCTGGCGGCACATGTGAGCAGCAGGGGCACTCAGTGCATCATGTCATTATTTCAGAGAGTGGAGAGAAAGATGGTGTACGAGTAAGGGATGCTGGTGAGGAAGGGTTTTAGAAACCCATCAGTCATCTTACGTGATACTCAATCCAGAAAGAGACACAAGGTTTGTATCCAAAGCTAGTCCTATACCCAGAGGAGACCCATTGAAATGACGGATTTTGTAGGTAGGATAGGATATATTGTCTTGCAATTATTCTCCCTGTTGCATGTGTGTGCAGAACATTTAAAGTAATCAGTTAAGTGTTTAACTCAAAACAATTAGCAGAGTTTAAAACACCATCCCTTGCAACATTAAACTGGAAACTTTGAAACTAGGCTGTATAGCCTTATTTTTATTTAGCCAGGCTGTGGTAACAGTCTGGATCCCTCCCCCCCTTTTCCTTTCTTAATAAAAGACTCACGTAGCAGACTGTAAAGTAAGCATAAAAATAGTGTTTACTTACATAAAGTCTTGCACTCAATTCCAGCAGCAGCAGTAGCAACCAAAATAAGTCGGGCAAATTCTACTTCTAGATTACAAAACACATAATTGAGTTTTTTAAAAATGGACTCTCCACTGGAGCGGAGACCACATGGACATCTGTCTGCCTCAGAAGCATGGTAGGAAGAAAGAATGAGTTCTGAGGCAGCAGAAAAAATTAAAACCTTTCGTCTTTTTCCCACCAGGTAACTCAAGGGAAGTGACATCACATAGAGCTCTGTCTCTGACAGTTACATTGCTTTTCTTTGCAATCCACCTGTCTAGTAATTTGCAGCACTGTTGTTGCTAGTCCCTAGAATTACTAAACAGTAAGAATGTGTTGTTATTTTGACTGCAAACCCCCACACAAACATGACTAGTTCAGGTCCATTATTTCAATGGGTCTACGCTGAGTAAAAGAATCTGCCAATTTCAATTTCTCCCTCTTTTTCCCAATCTTAAATTCAGTTTTCCACAGTCCCACATCAGTTTGCAATATAAGTCCTCATTCAAATTCACACACACACACACAAAAACTGCCCCAATATAATGCATTTTTGCATTTTAGCCTCACTAATCAATACAACACTTTCCCCAATGTTATAACATTGTTTAGCAATTCAATGTGGTGTAGTGGTTAGAGTGTCAGACCATGACCTGGGAGACCAGGGTTCAAATCCCCACTCAGCTACAACACTCAGTGGGTGATGCTGGGCCAGTCACTACCATAGCTGTCAACCGTCCCTTATTTGGCGGAAAACTCCCTTATCCCAGTGCCATGTCCCGCTGCTGTCCCTTATTGATGATGTCCCTTAAATTTCCCGGGTTTCAAAGGAAGCAGCTCCTCTCCCTCCCTCCGTGCTGGCCAGGGAGGAGTAAGGCTCCAACTGTGTTGCTTGGCTGCCTGGCCCGCCCCCCCTCCAACCTCCCCTCACCAGCCTTGGCCCCCGGGAGCCCCTCCCCACCGGGACTGGCAGGAGCCTCGGGCCCTTCTGCCGTCATCCTCCTCGTGGCTGCTGAACTGAGCGTCTCTGCCTGGGGCCTCCCCTCTGCCCGTCCCCGCCACTCCCGCTAGGCCGTACTGCGGCTGCACCGCCGAAGGACCCAGATGAGACGGGCAGCCTGGCATGGCCTATGAATTGCTGAGGAGCCTTGAGAGGAGAGCGAGGGCAACCATAGAGAAAGCAGTTCAGAGAGAGGAGGAGGAGGAGGCGGAGGAGGGGGCAGGTGTTCCAAGGGCTAACCATAGAGGGGGAAAGTGGAAGAAGGACCGCGAGCGCTTCTCCCATAGATTTGTAGTGGTAGACTAGCATAGATGGTCTGATCTGCAGGTTTACTTCAGGCACTATTTTTCCCCCCCTCTCTTCCTCCCGCCTGATGGAACTGAGAGCTGCAGATGAAGCACGAGAGAAAAGATACAGAACTGCAGCAGCATCTTTGTAGCTTGGACTTCGTTTTGTGCGAAAAGTGGTGGCTGCCTGAAGTTATTTAATTGCAGTGTTTCATCAGCTGGTGTCTTGAGCAGCAACCTCTGGAAACGAAGGACTAAAAACCGGCGCTGCTCTCCAAAATTATCTGGTCCTTTTTAACTTCGTATTTCAGCTGGTTGACTAAAATCCCTTATTTTGGCTGCTGATCCCTTATTTTCGAGGCTGCTGGTCCCTTATTTTCAAATCTGTAAGTTGACAGCTATGGTCACTGCCTCTCAGCCTAACCTACCTCACAGTTCTGGGGCTTAAATGAGGAGGGGGGAGAGCCTAACATCTGGCCATTTCTGGCTACCCATAGGAACCCCAGCAAAGGCAAACCTTCTCCTGTTATGCTGTGAATGGGAACAAAATGATCTTTGATGTCCTGAAAATAAACTGCTTTCTTTCTTTTCTCTTCCTTTTAAAAAGGCAGCCAGCTGAGATTATGCTAGCTACTGAGCTATCAAGAAGCCGCATTTTTTAATCCCATTGTTCTCTGCATGCAGAAAATCGCCGCCTTCCACCCAGGCCTTCAGGTTTCGGTTACGGCTTGTTATGTTCCTTTCATTATTGTCATTCGGATGTTTTAGTCCGTTTCTGCTCAATGCAGAGGCCTGTTTTTTCCCTAGGCAGTTTCCTGCCCCTCAAGACCGTATCAAACTACCTGACAGCAAAAGTCAGCCTGGCCGCTAGACATACGCCCACACCCACCTCAGTGGCATAAAATATTCGGGGCTGGGATTCCCACATTCTTCCTGTGCCTCCGTGGCACATATTTCTCCATTCGGTGCATCCTAGTTCCCTCCGTCTCCGAGCTCGTTGGCAGACCGTTTGGAGGATGTACATATCAGCCGCCAGGGCGTTCCGCCCCAATCTCTCTCCCTCTCTCGCTCTGCGTGCATTACCGTTAATCTTGACAAAAATGCATTATATTTAATACGGCTTCTGCAGGCCTCACTTGCCGGATGCATAAAATCTGGGAGACGCTTCAGCGGAGGGACGTAGTGCAGAAGCAAATTGGGCTTTGCTAACGCTTTGCAACCAGCACAGACTTCCCCCCATGAGAAGAAAGATGGAAGAGGGAGGGAGGCGGGAGAAGGCATTCGAACACCCAGCTCAGGATGGGGTTGACATCGGAAGATGCCTTACACTGAGCCAAGGTGGTCCATTGCTCAGTACAGTGGTACCTCAGGTTACATACACTTCAGGTTACATATACTTCAGGTTACAGACTCCTCTAACCCAGAAATAGTGCTTCAGGTTAAGAACTTTGCTTCAGGATGACAACAGAAATCAGGATGCTTCAGGATGACAACAGAAGTGGTGCTTCAGGTTAAGAACAGTTTCAGGTTAAGTACAGACCTCCGGAACGAATTAAGTACCGTATGTTTTGCTCTATAAGACTCACTTTTCCCCTCCTAAAAAGTAAGGGGAAATGTGTGTGCGTCTTATGGAGCGAATGCAGGCTGCGCAGCTATCCCAGAAGAGGGAGCAAGAGGGATCGCTGCTTTTGCTGCGCAGCGATCCCTCTTGTTGTTCTGGCTTCTGAGATTCAGAATATTTTTTTTCTTGTTTTCCTCCTCCAAAAACTAGGTGCGTCTTATGGTCTGGTGTGTCTTATAGAGCAAAAAATACGGTACTTAACCTGAGGTACCACTGTATTGCCTACTCTGTCTGACAGTGGCTTTCCATGGTTTCAGGCAGGGTTTTTCCCCACCCCATACTTAGAGACAGCAGGGATCAGTGGTGTGACAAGGGTGGGGCAAGAGGGGTGCTTGCCCTGGGCACAAAATTCTTAGGAGCGCAAAATTTCAAAAGAAAGTAGTAACAATACATTTAAAAATAGCACACCTCCCACCTCACAAAGAAAACTTCCCAATATTTAAACATTCTACACAGTTTTCCAACATGTCAGGGAAAATAAACACTGCATTCAGAACATGGGTGTGATCAGGATTTATGCTAGTGGGGGCAGGACACACACCTGCCATCATCTGCCTCTGTTCAGCAGATTCAAAATGAAATGTCTCCACAACAGTTGCTTTAAATTTCTTTAAATTTAAAGCGCTCAGAAAAAAAATCTGACAAAATCTTCAGTCATCTGAAAACCAGGAAGTTACCTAAAAAAAAATAATAATAACATCACGGAGTGCCTTTCATGAAGTTCCTGAGTATATTTTGCAAAATTACAAACAGCATGCCTTTTTTCATCTTTTTTTAAAAAAATCTAAACTAAAACAAGTTTTCCTGGATTTGCTGAAAACCTGTTCAGCACTTCCTTCTCAAATTCCTCCTTTTTTTCTGTGCAAACTCACTAAGTCCATTGAGGTGCTCCCCTGTCATTGTCAACCTTAAAGGTAAAGGTAAAGGGACCCCTGACCATTAGGTCCAGTCATGACTGACTCTGAGGTTGTGGCGCTCACCTCGCTTAATTGGCCAAGGGAGCCGGTGTACAGCTTCTGGGTCATGTGGCCAGCATGACTAAGCTGCTTCTGGCGACCCAGAGCAGCGCACGGAAATGCTGTTTACCTTCCCGCCAGAGCGGTACCTATTTATCCACTTGCACTTTGACGTGCTTTTGAACTGCTAGGTTGGCAGGAGCAGGGACCGAGCAACGGAAGCTCACCCCATCGCGGGGATTCGAACCACCAACCTTCTGATCAGCAAGTCCTAGGCTCTGGGGTTTAACCCACAGCGCCACCTGCGTCCCGCTTTGTCAACCTTAGTCAGGTCTTAACTCTCTGTGAGGTACTGAATGAGCATTCTGCGTTACAAGTAGCCTCAGCAAGCATTCAAATTTCAAATAGTCTGTTTCTACTTTTAGTTAACTATTTTTTATTTCTTCACTTGATTTAGTGGGGGGCAGCTGCCCCCCCGTCCCCCCCGGCTACACCCATGATTCAGAAATATTGACCCCTCCAACTGTGGAGGCAGAGCCAAGCCATCATGACTAGTGCCATAGCTCTCTCAATCCCTCTTTTTTCATTCCAGTAGTGTTCCAAACATTTTAAAAAAATTATCCTTCTTCCATCTCAGTGTTCCAACATGCCTTTAAAGACCTTCCATTCCACACACACCCCCACTAGCAGCCACAGCCCCCTGCCCATGTTTAAAAGCAGCTTTGGGGACTTCCCAATGTGAGTCGCCCTACAATGACAGGCTTGAATGTCCACCGGTGTTATAATCTACTTTATCTTAATGCAATCTTTCCCCGCTGAACTCTCTGGGAGCCTTAACAGACTATTTTCGACAGAGGGCCTTTTATATGATTATGATGGTGATGATTCGATACTGTGATTACTCTCACGCTCCTGAACTTTGCAGGGAAGGGGGTGGGAAATTAATAAAGGCTTTGTTTTGTTTTGTTGTGGATTTGTGTTGCTTTCCTATTAAGCACCTGAGGATCTTGCTGAATACCAATCAGCTGCGCACAGAGGCTCAGCGTTTCCACTTTACTCTGAAAAAGGTTCGTTCTGTTACCAATTCAGCCGAGGATGTAAGGGGAGCTCTGCGGCATCAGACCAGAGGCCCATCTCGTCCAGCATCCTGTTCTCACAGAGGCCAGCCAAAGGCTGATAGGAAGACTTTGGTAGCCATGAATTTGTCCAATCCTCTTTCAACGCCATCCAAGTTGGTGGCCGTCACTACTCTCTTGTGGGAGCGAGTTCCACAGTTTAACTATGGGCTGTATGAAGAAGGATTTTCTCTTATTTGTCTTGAATCTTCCAACATTCAGCTTCATCGGATGCCTCCAAGTTCTAGTGTTACAGGGGAGGGAGGAAAAAATATATATCTGTCCACTTTCTCCATGCTATGTCATCTCTGACTTGCCTTTTCTCCAAACTGAAAAGCCCCAAATGTTGCAATGTTTCGTCATCAGGGAGTCACCCTTGATTATTTCACTTGCCCTTTTCTGAAAGGCACACACATTGTGACCTGTGTTCTTTCAACAGGGCTAAAGGTAAAAGGTAAAGGACCCCTAGACAGTTAAGTCCAGTCAAAGGCGACTACAGGATTGCAGCGCTCATCTCACTTTCAGGCCGAAGGAGCCGGCATTTGTCCGCAGACAGCTTTCCGGGTCATGTGGCCAGAATGACTGAATCACTTCTGGCGCAACGGGACACCGTGACGGAAGGCAGAGTGCATGGAAATGCTGTTTACCTTCCTGCTGCAGCAGTACCTATTTATCTTCTTGCACTGGTGTGCTTTCAAACTGCTAGGTTGGCAGGAGCTGGGACAGAGCAACGGGAGCTCACCCTGGTGTGGGGATTCAAATCGCCTTCTGATCGGCAAGCCCAAGAGGCTCAGTGGTTTAGACCAGCATGATGCCTTGGTTAGTTCAGTTGGTTAGAACATGGTGCTGATAATGCCATGGTCGCAAGTTCGATCCCCATATGGGACAGCTGCTGCATAATCCTGCATTGCAGGGGGCTGGACTGAATGACCCTCAGGGTCCCTTTCAACTCTACAATTCTACTAGTCAAACATGTTGCTGGACTCCAACTTCCATTATCCCTTGCCTTTGGCCATGTTGGCTGGGGCCAACAAGAGGTGTGATCCATGAGGATGCCACATTGGCTATCCTTGCCACACACTTACAGCATTTGGAAGACTGTGGACAGTTCTGGCCTCCTGACCTCAAAAACGATATGGTGGAGTTGGAAAAGGTTCTGGAAAGGGCAGCCAAAATGACCACGGGGGGTAGACTTTTCCATTTAGACAAATGGTAAATAAGAGGTGACACAATAGACATTTATAGAATTATTCATGAGGTGGAAAAAATGGATGGAGAAAAGTTTTTATCCCTCTCTCATGCCTTCCGACATCCAATGAGGTTGAATATTTGAAGATTCAGGACAGGTAAAATAAAGTCTCTCTTCGCTCGGTGCATAAGCTATGGGATTTATATGGGGATGTGGGTGGCGCTGTGGTCTAAACCACTGAACCTCTTGGGCTTGCCAATCAGAAGGTCGGCGGTTCGAATCCCCATGACGGGGTGAGCTCCCGTTGCTCTGTCCCAGCTCCTGCCAACCTAGCAGTTCGAAAGCACGCCAGTGCAAGTAGATAAATAGGTACTGCTGCGGCAGGAAGGTAAATGGCATTTCCGTGCGCTCTGGCTTCTGTCACGGTGTTCTGTTGCGCCAGTAGTGGTCTAGTCATGCTGGCCACATGACCCGGAAAGCTGTCTGTGGACAAACGCTGGCTCCCTCGGCCTGAAAGCAAGATGAGCGCCGCCACCCCACAGTCGTCTCTGACTGGGCGTAATAGTCCAGGAGTCCTTTACCTTTACCTCTTACCTTTTACCTCTTGGCACAGAATCTACTATTGGAAGATTCGAGGCAGGATTTTAAAAATCTTCATGCAGCACATAGTTAAACTGTGGAACGTGCTCCCACAGGAGGCAGTGATATCCACCCACCTAGATGGCTTTAAAAGAGGATTAGACAAAGTCATAAAGAGAAGGCTTCAATGGCTGCTAGCCATGGTGCCTTTGCTCTATCTTCAAGCTTGGAGGGAGCAATGCCTCTACATCACAGTTGCTAGAAACCACAGGAGGGGACAGAGCTCTTGTGCTTGGGTCATGCTTGCTTCTTGCATGCATCCGGTCGGCCCCTGTGATGGGCACCCTTTTACCTGATCCAGTCATCCTTATGTTCACAGTTCTCCCGTAACTGCATTAAAAGTCCTCCCAGCTCCTTCCTACATCCTGCCTCCATCTCCCTCCTGACAGGCGAGGACCAAAACATTTCCTGCCACGCAGTGAGGACTTTATGAATACACCATTAAAAGGAAACATTACCAAGAAATGAAAGGCACTAATGGAGGAAGCTAAGAATTTCTCCCAAGAGGTGCCCCCATCCCCTCTGCCAGCAGTACGCTGATCCTGCTAATGGATTTGGAGGGGAGGGAGAAAGAGAGAGGTGGGGGAGAGGAAATATATTTCCGGAGGCCGCCTGTGCTCTGCTAATGTCCAGGAAATAATGTCTCTTGATGACAGCTTCCCTCCATCCCCAATTATAGCCCTCGCTGATGGGCTCCTTCACTGCAACTTCAGGATTTCAGCTAGGGCCAAACAGGACCTGGAAGCTCGTTCTTCTTCTCTGAGCAAATTAAAGCGATTTGTCATCGTAATCGGTTCTCCATGTGTCGGTGAGACGTGGACGCTGTCAGTCATTATGCCACACTATTAACAAATTAAAGGGCAATTGTACCGTGACTGACCAGCCTTTTTGTGCATGCATGCGACAGCAGGCATATAGATCTCTCTTTTAACTGAGTCAGGCCATTGGTCAACCCAGCCCAGTACTGTATGAATTTAGGATGGGCCAATCGGCATGCCTCCAGTTGACTTCACTTCTGAATGGGGTTTGTTCATAAAGCCATCACATTCTGCTCATATGCATTTGGGAGACACCCTAATCTTGCGACTGTAATTCATAGAATCATACAGCAGGGAGGGGTCTCATCTGGTCCAACCCCCTGAAATGCAGGAGGGTGCATACTGCTTTTAATGTTGTGTTTTAAATTGCTGTGACCAGACCTGGGATCTTAGGGTGAACAACTACAACAACAGCAAATACATGGACTCTTCCTTGGATGTTGAGAAGCTGGAACCAGTGGCGTAGCGTGGGGGGTGCAGGGGGGGCCGGCCGCACCGGGCGCAACATCTGGGGGTTAGGGTTAGGGGGCGCAAATCCACGGGTTAGGGGGCGCAAATTACTTGCCTTGCCCCGGGTGCTGACAACCCACGCTACGCCACTGGCTGGAACGAGTGCAGAGGAGGGTCTGGAAACCAATCCTGATGAGGAATGGTTGAAAGAGCTGGGTAGGTTTAGTCTGGAAAAGAGGAGACATCAGGAAGACCTTTCTGAGGGTAAGAGCTGTACAACAGTGGAACGGTCTCCCTCGGGAGGTTGTAGATTCTCCTTCCTTGAAGGTTTTTAAGCAGAGACTGGATGGCCGTCTGTCATGAATGTTTTAGCTAAGTTTCTTTCATTGGACTAGATGGCCCTTGGGGTCCCTTCCAGCTCTATGATTCTGTAATTTGCATGCGAAACATACTCTGCTACCGATATACCATCCTTCCCTTAAAACATGGAAAACGGCCTTAAACGAAGTCAGATCATATGTGCATCTAGCTCAGCCTTTTTCAGCCTGTGGGTCCCCAGGTGTTGTTGAACTACAACTTCCATCACCCCTAGCTAGCAAGGCCAGAGCTCAGGGATGATGGGAGTTGTAGTCCAACAACATCTGGGGACCCACAGGTTGAGAACCGCTGATCTAGTTAAATATTGTCTACAATGACTGGCAGCAGCTCTCCAGGGTTTCAGGCAGGGGACATTTCCAGTCCTATATTGGGGATTGAACCTTCCGCAGACAAAATAGATGCCCTCTCAGTGAGCCCTTCCCTCGCAACATAGGGACACTGCTGTATATTAAAGGTAAAGGTAAAGGGACCCTTGACCATTAGGTCCAGTCATGGCCGACTCTGGGGTTGCGGCGTTCATCTCGCTCTATAGGCCGAGGGAGCCGGCGTACAGCTTCTGGTTCATGTGGCCAGCATAACTAAGCCGCTTCTGATGAACCAGAGCAGTGCACGGAAACGCCGTTTACCTTCCCGCCGGAGCAGTATCTATTTATCTACTTGCACTTTGAGGTGCTTTCAAACTGCTAGGTTGGCAGGAGCAGAGACCGAGCAACGGGAGCTCACCCCATCGCGGGGATTCGAACTGCTGACCTTCTGATCAGCTATTGGCTCGAACCATTTCTCCATATTAGCTCAGTACTGTTTGCACTGACAGACAGCAGTGACCTCCAGGATTTCAGGCAGCCCTGCTGGGAGACAAATCGCAAAGAGAGACACCACAGGTGCTCTGATCGCCTCCTCCCCTGAGCATCTAGTTCCCTCCAGCAGCCCTTAATTGTTTAATTCATTCATTCCTCATGGCATGCTTGAGCCATTCCCCGTGCGCCGGGCCGATCGAGGGGAAGGACCGCTATAAATAATGCATCACCCCGCTTATCGCTAGACTGCCAGCGGGACTCATCTATCACAGCTCCTGCCAATATGCTTACAAGCACCCTTAACACTAACACTGCTCCTGCCTCGAACGGTGGTTTACTGCTTCCGTTCTTGTAAACTGCCGCCTTAAAAAATGCATGAGTTCAAAACAAGGGTCGGATTCTGCCTGCTGTGATCGGGCTGGCCCCAAAGGCGGATAATCATCCTGGACTGGAGCTTCACTATTCATCTCAATTCCCTTCTTTCTTTATTCCCCCCCAGCCCTCCCTCCTTAGACTCATAAAGGTTGCATCCAATGATATTTCTAGCAGCTGAAATTAGAAACATAGGAAGCTGTCTTATACCAAGTCAGACCAGTGGCTCCATCTAGCTTAGTACTGCTTGCAATGACTGGCAGCAGCTCCCCAGAGTTTCATCCAAGGGGCATTCTCAGTTCCACTTGGAGATGCTGGGGGCCTTCTGGCACAGAAGGGGAAAGTGCTGTTGGGCTCAGGTTCTGCTTGCGGGTTTCTCACAGGCATCTGGTTGGCCACAGTGAGAAGAGGGTGGCAGGCTAGATGGGCCGTTGGCCTGATCCAGTGGGCTCTGCTCATGTTCTCATGTTAACTGGCTGAAAGGTCCACCATCCAGCAGAGGTGTGTGCATGAACTTGTTTCACAAAAAGAAAAGTGTCATTCGTTCTGAAATGAATGCCTTGTCCATGAGCTTCAGTCCGGAGCAAGATGGGGACTGGGAGCCAGGATCGTGGATAAGCTTTCGCTTCTCCATCTCAAGCAGCAAAATGCTTGTTGGGGGTCCCTCCTGCTAATTCTGCTGATTGGGACCCTTGGACAAAGCATCATAGAATTGTAGAGTTAGAAGGGATCCCACAGGTCATCTATTTCAATCCCCTGCAATGCAGGAATCTCAGCTAAAGCATCCATAGCAGATGGCCATCCAACCTCTGCTTAAAAACCTCCAAGGAAGGAGAGCCCACAACCTCCTGAAGGAGACCGTTCTCCTGTTGAACAGCTCTTACCCTCAGAAAGGTCTTCCTGATGTTCAGTCGGAATCTCCTTTCTTGTAACTTGAAGCCATTGGTTTGAGTCCTACCCTCCAGAGCAGGAGGTAACAAGTGTCTTCCCTCTTCCATGTGGCAGCCCTTGAGATATTTGAAGATGGTTATCAAATCTCCTCTCGGTCTGCTCTTTTCCAGGCTAAACCTACCCAGCTCCTTCAACCGTTCCTCATCAGGCTTGGTTTCCAGATCCTCCTCTGCACTCGTTCCAGCTTGTCAACATACTTCTTAAATTGTGGAGCCCAGAAGTGGACACAGTATTTACTCATCAAGCCCTGCACTGGAGTCACCACTGGATTCCCTGCAATCTTATAAAAAGTTGCACTTCTTTCTCTCTATAGGCAAAAGGCCTCCGACTGGCAGGGTTTTCTTTATTTTCTTTCTTTCTTTTTAATGGGAGAAAATGAAATGGGCATTGATTAAAAAACAAAGGAAACCATACCCATCTTATCTCAAGATGCATCTGTAGCTCTGTCTCACACACTGAAATTGGAACACAAGCAACGCATTATGGGTAAGGCCGGCTCTCATCGAGTGAGTGCTACAAGCTGATGGAAGGCTTTCTTATACAGTTGGGGACGCTGTTCCCTCCTTCCCAATGGATCAGCTCTCTCTCGAAATAGCACAGAGGAAAGAGATTGCCAATTTGGTCGTATTAAAGCTAAAGGGACCCTCCCTTTCCCAACACTGTCTGTTCATTTCCAGGGTGGAGGCTGCTGTCTTTGTCTCAGCTCAACATGCAAAGGGGCCATAGCTAAGTCACAGAGCACCAGCTTTCCATGCAAAAGGTCCCAGGTTCAATCATCAATGGCATCTCTGGGTAGGACTGGGCAGTGCCTTTTTTCTAAAAAAAATGTTTAGGGGTAATCTCATTTTCCTACTCATATTGAAATACTGCCCCTCAATGAGGCCAAACTTAGATTCACAAAATGTTTAGGGGTATGCGTCCCCCCAGAAAAAAGCACTGGGACTGGGAATGTCCTGTGTGGACAATTACAGCTAGGATAGACAATGCTGAGTTAGATGGACCCAATGGTCTGACTTGGTATGAGGCATCATCCTCATTTCCTCAACCATCCTCTCTTGGGCGAGGATACATAATTCTGCCCTCTCTCTACAGCATGATTAGCTCACTCATTTGTCCAAGCATTGGCCATGCTGGCTGGTGTGATGGGAATCCACAAACATCAGAAGAGCTGCACAACTCTCAGTCTTGCTGCATGTCACCATGAGATTGTTTAGAGGAGGGCCGTAGCTCAGTGGTTAGTGCATCCAGTTGAAAGGATATCAGGAAGAGAAGAAGACCCCTCTCTCTGCCTGAGCACCACCACCCCAAGAACTTCTGCCAATCAAGACTGAGCAGACAGCGCAAGAGGATTAAATGGAGCTCCAAGACAAGACTGTTGCAAGGAACTGGGCAGGCAGCTCATAGAGATGAGCTAAGCTACACTGAATGCTGGTGGTGATGTTGTGTTCTGAGTTTCAGGACCACTGACAGCTCCAGGTGATCCACTCCCTGACTGAACCTTTTGAGGCTCCTGCTCTTGTGCATCCAGGCTCCTGCCCTAGAGATTCAGGAAGTTTTCCTGTGAGGTTCATATTCCTCAGCCACAGGTTGGGTTGCTTCATGGCTGGCAGAACCCTGCATCCAGCTGGAAAGTCTGCAGCCGCCGGCTCTTGAGTCTTGATTGCTGCTGGGCTCTGGGGTCATGGCAGGCACCCTTGAGCGACCTCTGCTCCAGGAAAAGAAGAGACAGAGCCTGGGTTGATTGCCAGTTGAGAACTGAGGCTTCTGCTATGCATTGCAACTAATCTGACGCCTACTCGGACACCGGCGGGGGAATTAAGCCAGCTAGAGCAAGCAGAGGTTGCAAAAGATGGGATGGAGCAAGTGCAACCTCTGCCTAATCCCCCCCCCTCACTCAGAGGAGCTGCACCCCCCCATTTGCTCTCTCCCCGCCAGGCCTTATCTCCCATTCCTCCCCTGCAGCACTCCCTCTGGACCTGGGGGCTTGAATCCTATGCACTAACAGCAAAAACATTTCCCGAGTCTCAGTATTTTTATGTAGCCAAGCCCAGCAGAGTGAGCACATATCAGAATTTCAGAAGACCTCTCTTGGAGCAGGCCAATACCCCATCTAGTCCAGCATCCTGTTCTCCCAGTGGCCAACCAGATTCCCAACGGGAAACCAGCAAGCGGGACACAAGGACAAGAGCAACCAGCAACTGATATTCAGAAACATTGTGGTCTCTGACTGTGGAGGCAGAGCATAGCCATCAAAGCTTGTAACCATCCATAGTCCTCTCCTTTCACACCAGATACTGACAGATTAGTGGGGGAACACCAAGATTCATGGAAGCTTATATAAATCAAGTGGGAGGTGGAACCCCAAAACAACCCAATGAGTACTGAGCATGCTCAGAATACTGGCTGACTGGTTTGGGACAGGGGGTGGAATGGAATGGAGCATCCTGGATAAGGACATGATTGGGCTAGCATTTTGGAATCTGAACAGGAGTACTTCATACCATAACATTTGTTGCGGACCCCACTTTTAATTATCATTGCTTGCTGTTCTGGCCTAGACCCAGTATACCTGAAGGAGTGTCTCCAGCCCCATCATTCAGCCTGGACACTGAGGTCCAACTCCAAGGGCCTTTTGGCGGTTCCTTCACTGCAAGAAGTGAGGTTACAGTGGAGCAGGCAGAGGGCCTTCACGGTAGTGGCACCCGCCCTGTGGAATGCCCTCCCATCAGATGTCAAGGAAATAAACAACTACCTGACTTTTAGAAGACATCTGAAGGCAGCCCTGTTTAGGGAAGTTTTAAATGTTTGATGTTTTATTGTGTTAAATGAGATTCAGGTGAGGGTCATATGCCTTGTCAATCCCAACAGGTATATAACAGGCCGATGGCCTGCCCAGGCCATGAAGGAGCAGCTATTTTGGCAGCAGAATCTTGCTGCCAGCTGGTCTGGAAAGAGTCAACAAGACTGCCTGACCTGTTCTGGACAACCTTTGAGATCAGGATTATAGGCAGTATACAGCTACAATGGCCACTTGAAAACACTACTTGGGCAGAAGGTGGAATCTTTTAAAATCATAGGCCACCCACAACCAGTAGCATTTGGTGGGGGGAGGCACTTAGCATATCTCCCAACGCTGACATCACTATGGCTTACAAGAAGGAAGAGGAGGATGGAGGTGAGGTTGATGTGGTGTGAACACACTGGCATAAGCACAAGTTTGGCTGCACCGGTGTGTTTGCACTGTGCCAACCTTACTCAACCCTGCCAGCAAGGCTAGCAAGATCTTGTGAGATCTTCCTGAAATCTCACCAGATCTCATGAGCTCTGTAAGATCTTGCAGACGGCCACTCACCTTTTCCAGTCGGCAATGCGTCCAGTGCTTAACAGCAACTTCGTCCTGAAGCTTCCAGGTTCCCTCTGCCTCTAGGTCAGAGTCCTTCTACCAGCTGCCTGGGGTCATTCACAGGCCAACGTGTCTCTCTCTTTTCTTATTTATGGCGCTTATATCCAACCTGGCATCTCAGAGTAGTCTCGAAGCGGTTTCCTATCTAATCAATACAAAATCATAGAACAAAATTGTAGATTTGGAAAGAACCCCAAGGTGCATCTAGTCCAATTGGCTGCAAAACAGGAATCCAATTCAAGAATTCCTTGCAAATGGCCACCCAACCTCTGTGTATAAAAAACCTCCAAAGAAGGAGAGTCCACCACCTTCTGAGGGCGTCTGAATTGATATCCCATTATTTACTCCAAGGAGCTCAAAATGACATACATAGTTCTCACCTTCTTATTTAATCCCCACAACCTGGCCCCAGGTCACCCAGTGAGCTGCATAGCTGAGTAAAGAGGTATTTGAACCCTAGTCTCTCCCAGGGTTTCCCCTTCTGAGAAACAGCTCTTCACTTCACTCACAGAAGCTGCTCAGTTCTGCTCCTGGTGAGCAGTTGCTGGTGTGGTTTTTTAAAAAAACACAACTGCAAGCATTCTATGATGTCACAGTAGGGGGCTTGCAGGCACTGGGCAACCAAAGTTGGCATGAGTGTTACACAAATCTTAAGGTGCACACATAGCAGACACGCACCCTAGAGAAAAAACAATCCTTCACCATTCAAAAATTATAAAATATTCCCTGGAAAAAAAGACACTTTCTTTGAGTTCACAGAACAATCCTGAAGCCATCTCGACCCTCTTAATGACCCCAGATATTTACTCTGCAGTTGAAGGAAAAACCTTTCCCAGTCGTTCTTTTCACTTACAAATCCTTCAAAAGCTATAAACATCTCACATAAATAGGGGTAGATCTGTGACAATAGATTCAAGAACTGAGGTATTTACCATTTCAAGGGAACGGCTCAGACTGGCCAGGAAAGGGCAACCAGCAAGCATTGTCAGGTATCATGACAAGAGACAAGCCAGGAGACAAGACTGCCTCTTTCTGTGAGGTATGTATGATGCTTGTTGAGTGGGCAGTGGTTTTCAACAAGGGTGCTGTGGCACCCTTTGGTGCCTTGAATGATGGTCAAGGGTGCCGTGAGCAACACTGGCCTCTGTCCCTCTTTCTCTCCCCCCCATGCCTTCTTGCATCCCTGCCTCCCAAAGGCTTGTGCAGCTGTTTGTTGTAGCACCCCTGGCTACAAGTTCCCCAGGCGAACGGTGCCTCTGGAACTGGCTAGGGGGTACTTCCCAGGCCCCTGTGGGGCAACATGAGGAGGCACCTCTCTTTAGGGAAGGGGCAACAGCTGCGGCTGTTCAGAGGACTCCTAAGGAGAGGGGAGAAGAGAAGAGGGAACACTCCACAAAGGAAGGAGTCAGAAAAAGAACGAAAGGCTGCCAGTTCTGCTGGCAAGGGGTGACATAGCTGGGCTCCTGAGCCTCACAGGGCTGCCACAGAAAGAATGTAGTTGGTCAAGGGAGCTGTGGACTCAAAAAAGTCCCAGCCAGATTTAGGGGGGGGGTATAAAAATAAATTATTATTATTATTGTTGTTATGGGAAATTTCTCAAGTCTTTAAAAGTTGTTACACACACTTGTCTTGGCTCCTCACCTCCATGCAACATGTAAGGTGAGAAACTCTGTCACAACAGTAAAATTAATATCTGCCTTGCTTTGACTGGTTCCTGCCGCCGCTCATTTTTCTCTGACCCATCATGGATTTAGCTCCAGCCCCAAGAAACTAGTAACTGAAAGGAGGTGGGTCATGGGAATTGAAGCGTACGCTTTCTGCATACAACACACCCACTGCCAAGCAGCTCCATCTCATCTGCCCCCACCCCCATACCACCCTCTCTCCTAAAATAGACTGGGGTCACTGAGTCCTTCCCAGCAATAGAATTAGCCGTTCTGGAAGATTCCTAAGATGCTATTAATCCAGAGTTCAGAGTTAAGAATTCAAAGGTCCCAAATATAAAATAAACGTTCATAAATGTACACAGCAAACACATAAGTAAGTACAGGGGTGCAATCCTGTCAGCTTCTTTAGGAGACAACAAGAGTCTGCAAAGCAGGATACAAATAATAGAAAAAGTATTAAACTGTACATTTCAAAGAATATATATATATCACCCTAGCGTTGTATGGCATTAACATTGTTCTAACCACTAGGCCACACAGACTCTCCTAGAGCCTTGGCACTGAGGCCTGGAATTCCATGTTCTCAACTGCCGTTGCCTAGCAATGGAGCTTGTGACCGTTTGAAGTTCCTCAGCATCTCAAGGTTGGCAGAGGTGGCCTGTAGTGACCTTTGCACAGTCACTACAGGAGAGGATGGCGTCCCAAAGACTCCTGGAGGTAAGTGGAGGTTGCCATGGCCAGGGGACCTAACCCTGGAACCTAGATTAATGGTATTGAAGGGCCATTAGAATTTTGTTCTCTATATGATCCCAAAAACTCTTTTAGGCATTTTCTCCTCTCTCAGATGTTAGAGTAAAAATGGGCCTCTCTCTCTGGAATGTCTGGCTTAGGCGGGTAGAAGATAAGAGCAAAGTTGAATGAGTGTTATTGTAACTCCAGACAGGGGGAGGCTGAAAAGGAGGAGGCGAACTGAAAAAAGGAGGAGGGTAACACAAGAAACAAAGCCCCATCTTATTGCTATTAGTGTAAATCACATGTTTTACATGTGAACACGTGTCTATGCATTCTAAGGGGTATAAAAAGTGGGCGCACCCTTACTGGGGTGTGAAGGTTGCGAGCTTATCGCTCTGTACCTTTGTTCTGCATATGCATTTCAAATAAAACCCTGTTAATAACCTGCAAGGACGTTTTGCCGCTTTGTGTGAATCTGTGCTCCGGGGACCCAATAGCAGATATGGAACAGGTGCTACAGTATCACCAAGTTTGGCAAAGAGCTATCGAAAGTCAAAGAAAGGGTTGAGCTTTGCCCAAGTTTTTGGAAGGGGAGAAGGAATGCCAACAAGGAAAATTCAGTGTCCTATACTGAAGTTGATTGAATATTATTTTGAACAGAGGATTCCTTCTGATTTATGTACATGTGAATCTGGAAGAGACTTCATTTCTATTTATACATGCTGGATGTTATCTTAGTTCTATAGTTTGGAAGGGAAAGGGGAAAACAGAAGAAGAAAAGAAAGTGTGAGCGGCTAGCCCAGTGGAGGGGAAGGGGGTACCGGGTGGAGCTGGTTTTTCTGCAGAGCTGAGGCAGGGAGCCCTGCTGCCCACCTGTCCACAGAGTCCATCACAGGAAAGGGCTGCTCCCAGGTGCAGGCGAGGGAGAGACAGGAGCCCTGGCGGAGCTCTGCTCCTGGAGGAAGGACAGATGAGAAACAGCGCCATGGGCTCTGCTGAAACAGGCCAGCTCCCTCAGGTCTCCTCTCCCCCAACTCTTACCTGGTGGCAGCCATTTCATCAGGCTGCCTCAGTGGGAGAGATGACAACAGCATTTTAGACACTGGGTAGGGCCTGAGCTTGTGAGTTGTCTTTTCGTCTGCCCTCCTTGCCCCCTTTCTTTGTGTGTTGTATTTCTGTTGGTCAGATTGTTTCTTACAATAGAAGTCTGCCATTAGGGAGTTTCTTGCATTTGATTTCATGGAAGGCTCTCTTGGAGCCTTTTTGGCTTAAGAGAGGGGTACAAATGCTCTAAATGAATAGAAGGATGAATAAGGTCTCTAAGAAAATGGAGGACAGAGATTTTCGGTTTGTTTCCCAACCTACCTCATCTGCGCTTTCCTGATCAACACAAAAACATGAATGGGTCTGATCCATTCTTCACATTCTGATGTCCCTGTTTCTCTTTTCTCATGGACAGGGAATTGATTTTGATGAAGATCAAATATCAGAAATCAGCCTGGAAGATGGGGAGGATCTTCCTCCAAGGTAATCCTGTGCTAATCCTCTCCCACATAATCAATTGCTTTCAAAAAAACAACCACCCGGTCCATTTCTATGGTGGTGGTGCTTGGGGTCTTTGAAGGATGGGAGGTAATAAAGCCTTTTTACAAAAGTGCTACTCCTCTCTCCCCTCAGCATCCCAACCACAGGTTCTCCGGATGCGGCTGATCTTCCTCCTGAAAGCGTCAGCAAGGAACATCTGAAGGCCAGACTTACGGAGGTCGTCGCCACGATGAAGAGTGGGAAGATCCGAAGGAAGGCGCTCCGAGATCTTTCCGCCCTCCTGCAGAAGATCCAGGAATATGTGAGTTACTGAATAATAATAATAATAATAATAATAATAATAATTTATTATTTATTATTTATACCCCACCCATCTGGCTGGGCTTCCCCAGCCACTCTGGGGGGCTTCCAAAAAAATATTAAAATACTGTAATACATCAAACATTAAAAGCTTCCCAAAACAGGGCTGCCTTCAGATGTCTTCTAAAAGTCTGGTAGTTGTTGTTCTCTTTGACATCTGATGGGAGGGCATTCCACAGGGAGGGTGCGACTACCGAGAAGGCCCTCTGCCTGGTTCCCTGTAACTTGGCTTCTCGCAGTGAGGGAACCTCCAGAAGGCCCTCGGTGCTGGACCTCAGTGTCCGGGTAGAACGATGGGGGTGGAGATGCTCCTTCAGATATACTGGACCGAGGCCGTTTAGGGCTTTAAAGGTCAGCACCAACACTCTGAATTGTGCTCGGAAACATACTGGGAGCCAATGTAGGTCTTTCAAGACCGGTGTTATATGGTCTTGGCGGCCGCTCCCAGTCACCAGTCTGGCTGCCGGGTTCTGGATTAGTTGTAGTTTCCGGGTCACCTTCAAAGGTAGCCCCACGTAGAGCGCATTGCAGCAGTCCAAGATAACCAGAGCATGCACCACTCTGACGAGGCAGCCCGCAGGCAGATATGGTCTCAGCCTGCGTACCAGATGGAGCTGGTAAACAACTGCCCTGGACACGGATTTACCTGTGCCTCCATGGACAGCTGTGAATCCATGTTACAACAACTGGGCCAGGGGAATTTTCCACTTCAAAACAAATTTTGACCGTGGGATTGACCTTGGGCTTCAACTAGAGTGTTATGGCAGATGGAAAAGAAATGATAGAGTTGCTTCAAGAGAAAACAACGAGGTCTGGTAGATCTTTCCGCACAGACACTGGGCTGCAGCGAAGAGCATCAGCTTCTGGCCCCTCTGCACCATTAGGGGCTGCATCTGTACAACCTAAACCAAAAGGAATGGCATCTGAAGATGTTTTAGCTCTGGCACTAGGCAAAATTAATGAATCTTTGGAAAAACTAAGTAAACAAGTAGCTGAAGCATCAATTAAAATTGATCAAAATACTACAAGCATTAATAATTTGGGACAGAAGGTGAATACTAATACAGAAACTATTGGGAAACTGCTACAGGAATCTACTTTGACCCAAAAGACAGCTGAAGAAGCAAAGGAAATAGCAGTTGCTGCAGAAGAGAAGATACCACCGATACATAGGCAACTTGAGGACCACAGGTCGATGTTGTCTATGATTGAATTGAAGGAGAAACAAACGAATTTGAGGATCAGGGCCGTACCTGAACTTGAGAAAGACAATTTGATTGACTTTCTTATGCAGGAATTTGCAGACTTTTGGGATTTAGATTTGGAGAAGGAAGATTTTAAGATAGTGAGTGCTTTCAGGCTTGGAAGAGGGGGGAAGAAGAACAGGATGAGAGACTGTTTGATCACCCTCCGAACAAAAGAGGAGAGAGACAAAATCTTGAGTCTGCACTTTCAGAAGACTCTGGAAATACATCAGTCAAAAGTGGAGATATTTAAAGACATCCCGAAACATCTTTTGGACCTCAGGTCCAATTACGGAGATTTGGTCGCCCTGTTGAGAAGCAACAGAGTTATCTTTAGGTGGGAATTTCCCCAAGGCCTATCTTTTAGCTTCAAAGGAAGAAAGATAAAAATAAGATCAGTGGATGACAAAGAAAGATTTTTGAAAGATCACGGAGAAGATTTGCAGAAAGAATCTGGAGAAGAGCTAAGAGCACTATAAAGAGGAATACCAGACATAGCAAAACTACCTTTTGGACTGGACTGCTTAGAGAAAGCGATACCACCGACAGAACAAGAACAAACACTTGGCGCAGTTGGAGGTAAAGCAAAGTAACTACATCATGGCTCTGCAACTATTAAGCTGGAATACTAATGGTCTTAACTCCCCCCAGAAAAGGAAAAGAGTTTTTCATTTATTAAAAAAAGGAACAATTGGACTTGATTTGTCTACAGGAAACACATGTGATAAGGCTACATAGAAAAGTATTGATCAACAAAAGACTGGGCCAGGAGTTCATCTCATCGGACAAAGTTAAAAAAAGAGGAGTAGTGATTTATGCAAAGGAGAGTTTATCAACGAAATTTATCTTTAAAGATGACCAAGGAAGATTTGTGGCAATTGAAATTCAAATACAAGGAGAGAAATTTTTGATAGTAGGAGTTTATGCACCAAATGAGGGGAAATCTGAATTCTTTAAAAAGTTGCACGAGACCTTGATGGACTCTTTGGACTATAATGTGATTCTGATGGGGGATATGAACGGAGTGGTATCTACAAATATGGATAAGGCACAAAGACAGGTAGTCACTAAGGATGGTAGACTACCGAAAACATTTTTTGAGATGACAGACAACTTGGACTTAGTTGATATCTGGAGAATAAAGAATCCCTTGGGTAGAGAGGGAACCTTCTTCTCTGAAGCCAAAATGACATGGACAAGTGTAATGGGTTTAGGGGTTGCTCGTGCGTAAGTTGCCGCCACTCCTGGCTAGGTTACCTGGTTAACCCTTTCTGACTGAACAGCCTCCAGCATCGTGACTGTCTCAGTCGCTGGCAGAATCCGTCAGTGGGCATTTCTTAAACTTTTTCCAGCACAAAAGTTCCTTGACGCCAAGTCTCCTCCTACTCTCCCTGCGCGGAAGTCTTCTGCGCAAGGAGGGTGTGGGCAGTGGAGTACCCGTATTCTCTCCGCTGGTGTCCGGCGAGGAGTCTTGGAGCCTTCTCCCCAATTCCCCCATCTGCCCCCCTTCTCTACTGGTGTTACGCTGATTTCCTTCCCCAGCAGACGGGCTCCCTCTCTCCCTACTGGGACCCTCTCCGCCATCCCTTTGGAGCCTCCCCTCCGCTTCCAGCTCCGATGGCAGTTCCCTGACATCCATCTCCCCCCCCCCAGGACCCCCCCCACCCTCGGCCCGACCTTCTGATCCAACCTCATCCCTTTCCTCGGCCAATGATGCGGGGAAACCCCTGAAGGAGCTGTCGCCATCCTCTGAGGATTCAAAACCCGCTTCCCACCCGCTTCGAACTCTTGCCGCGGGGTGGGCCTCCCAGTCTGATTCTTCTCCCTCTGACATCTCCCCTCCTTCCTCTTCGGAGGCAGGAAAACCCACAAATTTCTCCTCGTCGTCTGTGGTTCCAAATTCTTCCTCCCAGAATCTCGCTAGTGGTTTTGGTTTGTCTGGGAACAGGCTGTGGAATTCTTCCACTAGATACCCATCATCGACTGCCTCAGCGGGGACCCAAGTGTTTTCTGACTCGGGTTCTCCTTCCCAAGCCACTAAGTACTCCACCTGGCGCCCTCACCACCTTGAATCGAGTATTTCCGTGGCTTGGTTTGGAGTTCCCTCTCCTCTACACGCGGGTGGGCGGTGACTCCTCCCTCCCGCCCCAGGAATTCCCACCCCTCCCTGTACGGCGAGAGTAGGGACCTATGGAACACCGGATGTATCTTCATGCTGTCAGGCAACTTGAGCTTGAATGCCACAGGGTTCACCTGCTGTGTTACCTCAAAAGGTCCCAGCCGCCTTGGCTGCAACTTCTTGCACCCTCCCTTTAGGGGCAACCCTTGGGTTGACAACCACACTCGGTCTCCCACCCGTATGGCATCCCCCTCCCGAAGGTGCTTGTCTGCCTGCCTCTTATAAACTTCCTTGGCCCGCTCCAAGTTCATCTTGAGTTGCTGGTGCAATGCCTCCATTTCTTCCACAAACTGTTCTGCCGCAGGTACACTCCACCCTTCCTCCCCCCTCCCCGGGAAGGCCCTGGGGTGACACCCATAATTGGCCATGAACGGGCTCATGCCCGTGGACACATGTTCAGCGTTATTGTACACAAATTCAGCCAACGCAAGTTTCTCTACCCAATCGTTCTGTCTCTCGCTGACGTAGCAGCGTAGGTATTGCTGGAGTATACTGTTCGCTCTTTCTGCTTGCCCGTTGGTTTCCGGGTGTCGCGCCGTCCAGAAGCCCACCTCTACCTGCAGCAAGCTCATGAGCTTCCTCCAGAACCGGGAAGTAAATTGTTTCCCGCGATCTGAGATGACCCTCGAGGGAGCCCCATGCAACCTGAAGATGTGATCCACAAACAACTTGGCTGTCTCCTCTGCTGTCACCACATGTGAGCAAGCTATGAAATGGCACATCTTCGTCAGTAGATCGACTACTACCATGACTGCTGTCTTCCCCCTGGACTTGGGCAAATCTGTCATAAAATCAATGGACACCACCTCCCAGGGTCTTCCCGGCGTGGGTAAGGGTTCCAGTAACCCTGCGGGGGCAGCCCTCTCCCCCTTTACCCTTTGGCAGCGGTCGCACCCCCGTACATATTCCCGTACATCCTCCCTCACCCTTGGCCACCAGAACTGCCTGGTGACGAGCAGCATGGTTTTGTGCTGTCCAAAGTGCCCAGCTGTGGGGTTGTCATGGAGTTGTTTGAGTACCTTCCCCCTCAGGGTCTCCCCCGGTACATACAGCGCCCCCTTATAGTACAGCACCCCTTCCTTTTCCTCAAACCCCCCATGGTTTTCTCTTCCGTCTCGGAGTTCCCTGATTTTAGTTTGAGCGAACACGTCGTTTCTAGTAAGCCCGGCCAGTTCTCGTTTCCCAACCAAGGCCCCCACACACACCCATCGGTCCTCGGGGATCACGTGTCGTATCTCCGGCGGTCCCTCTCCTTCCATGTACTCTGGCTTCCGGGAGAGAGCATCTGCTCTTACGTTTTCCTCTCCCGGCACGTATCGGATCTCGAAGGAAAACTTGGAGAACTCCTGTGCCCATCGAATCTGTCACTGGTTGAGTACTCGTGCGGTCCTCCAGTATTCCAAGTGCTTGTGATCAGTACAAACCTGGATCTTGTGCTGCGCCCCTATTAACAGATGTCTCCATCGGCGAAACGCCGCATAGATCGCAAGCAGTTCGCGGTCATACACCGTATAGTTTTGCTCCGACTTGCTCAGCTTCCTCGAGAAAAAGGCACACGGCTTCTATTCCTGCTTGCTCCTCCCTGGCTGCAAAAGTACTGCCCCAATGGCTCTGTCGGACGCGTCGGTCTCTAGCCTCATGGGTTTCTCCAGATCAACGTGTAGGAGCTGCTCTTCCGAAGCGAACGCCTTCTTCAGTCTTTCAAAGGATTGCTGGGCACTTTCTGTCCAGGCGAACTTCCTTTTGCTACTGAGACAATCTGTGATGGGCGCCGTTAAGTGGGCGAAGTTCTTGATGAACTTCCTGTAGAAGTTGCTGAACCCTAGGAACCTCTGCACATCCTTCCGGGTTTTGGGGGCTTTCCATTCCAGCACTGCCTGCACCTTGCTTGGGTCCATAGCCAGTCCCTTGTCTGACAACTTGTACCCCAGAAACTCGACCTCTCTGGTGTGAAATTGGCATTTTTCCAGCTTGACCCACAACTGGTGCTTCTGCAGCCTCTCTAGCACTTCCCTGACGTCTCTGACATGTTGCTTCTCATTGTCTGAATAGATTAAGACGTCGTCCAAGAAGGCTACGCAGTTCTTGTACAGCAGGGGCCCCAACACGTGGTGCATGAATGCTTGAAAGCAGGCGGAGCCCGATTGTAATCCAAATGGCATGACCAAGTATTCAAAAGCCCCCAGGGGGGTGAACATGGTGGTCTTCCATTCGTCCCCCTCCCTTACCCTGATCAAATTGTACGCTCCCCTGAGGTCCAGCTTGGTGAAAATTTCCCCCTGCCTCACCCGTGTTAAAATGTCGTCAATCCTGGGCATTGGGAAGGTCACGGGTTCAGATACCAAGTTCAGGGCCCGGTAGTCCACGACCAGCCTGGGCTGATTAGCCCCTTTTTTGTCCACAAAGAACACCGGACTGCCCCCCACCGCCTTTGATTCTCTTATGAACCCCCTCTTCAGGTTCTTGTCAATAAACTGCCATAACTCCTGCATCTCCCTGTCCGACATGGCATACAGCTTACCCACCGGCAGCTGAGCCCCTGGGATTAAGTTGATTTGGCAGTCAAAGGGCCTATGGGGGGGTAGTCTGTCCGCCTCCTTCTCGCTGAAGACTTCCTTTAGGTCAGCGTATGGTGGTGGCACCTCTCCCTTTGTTTCCACCGCCAGCCCAGCCACCCTAGCCACTGTCATTCTTGGGGTGTCCCCCCCCCCAGACAGTGTTCCAAACAGTAAGCTGACCCAAAGGTGACTGACCGCTGATGCCATGACACTACTGGATCATGCAGTGCCAGCCAGCTCATTCCCAGTATTATTGGGGGTCCTTCCAGTGTGGCCTCGTGAAAGGCAATGGTCTCCGTGTGCCTGGAAACCCTCATTCGCATTGGCGGGGTCTGGTGTGTCACTTCCCCTCCCAGAAGTTCCCTGCCATCGATGGTGGTCACTTGCAAGGGAAAATCCAGGGGTAGCAAGTGTATTTGGTGCTCCAAAGTGAAGTCCCTGCTAAAGAAATTGCAGGAGCTGCCCGAATCCAGCAGCCCCTCAACCTTGACTGGGTGCCCATTCGGGAGTTCTAGCACCACTGCTATGGCTATCGCTGCCCTGGGGGGGTCAGGCTGGGGCACTTCTATTGGTTGCTGGCCTGGCTGCTGGCCCCTTTGGTTGGCAGCCAGGCACTGTCGTTTCCCTGCGCCTGCCCTTCGTCCCCCTTATCCTCACAGCCAGCAGCCCCTACCATCCCTTGCCAGGCCTTTCTTTGAGGGCAGACCCTTGCAAAATGTCCCGGCCGTTGGCAGAGGAAACACTTCTTGGTGGTTTTCCACTCCTTCCCCTCCCTCTTGCGACCTTCACTGGAGTTTGAAACCTCTCTCTCGCGCGCGCCACCTATTTCCATTGGCTCAGCCGCCTGGGAAAGCTGTCTTGGTATTTCAGGAATGTGGTAGTCATGGCAACGTTCCCCTCTCACTTCGCGTTTCTCCTGAGCCCGCGCTTCCTCCCTCACTCCAATCGCAAGCACAGCCTTGGTCAGCTGATCCATCGACTGCGGGCGGGGCGCGAGGGACAGCTTGTCCTTCACCGTTGGGGACAACCCCTCCTCAAACAACATTTGAATAGGTTCAGAGTCCAGATCCCACCCGAGACGGTGGACCAACATTGCAAAGCACGGAGGGTGTGGGCAGTGGAGTACCCGTACTCTCTCTGCTGGTCTCCGGCGAGGAGTCTTGGAGCCTCCTCCCCGATTCCCCCATCTGCCCCCCTTCTCTACTGGTGTTACGCTGATTTCCTTCCCCAGCAGACGGGCTCCCTCTCTCCCTACTGGGACCCTCTCCGCCATCCCTTTGGAGCCTCCCCTCCGCTTCCAGCTCCGATGGCAGTTCCCTGACAACAAGAATTGACCAAATATGGGTAACTAGAGGAATGGCACCAAAGACGAGAAAAGTGGAAATTTGTCCAAAAACCTGCTCCGACCATAATGCCGTGAAGATGGAGATGAAACTAACACCAACTGGCTCTTTCAGATGGAGGATGAATGACACCTTATTTAGAGACGAAGAAGTGACTAAGAAGGCCCAAAAAACCTTGAGAGACTATTTCGAGACAAACATGAACACTAATGTTGAAAAAAGAGTAATCTGGGACGCAAGCAAAGCGGTTATGAGAGGGTTCTTGATACAACAGAATGCAATAAAGAAGAGAATCCAAAATGAGAAGAAAGATAAAATTTTGGAGAAAATAAAGGAAAGTGAGAAGAAATTGAGAGCAAAACCAAAGTCGCAAGAGATCTTGAGAGAAATAAAGTTATATCAAGTACAATATATGAAAATGATGAATCAGGAAATAGAATGGAAAATTAAACAAATGAGACAAAAGACATTTGAGTCGGCTAATAAATGTGGGAAATTGTTGGCCTGGCAAATGAAAAAAGACAAAAACTAAACACTATTATAAATCTAGAAGTGGAAGGAAAGAACATACAGAACCCAGTCGAGATTAGAAACTGTTTCCAGAGGTACTTTAAACAATTATATACACAAGGGCCACAGAAAGAAATTGATATAGATCGATTTTTGAAAATAAATGGATTACAAAAAATCTCTCAAGAAAACAAATTAATGTTGAATTATAAAATAACTGAACAGGAGGTAGAAGGTGCCATTCAGAATATGCAATTAGGTAAATCTCCAGGACCGGATGGATTGACTTCTAGATACTACAGATCTTTAAAAGAATGGTTGGTACAACCTTTAAAGGAAGTCTGTAATGAAATATTGGATGGGAAAAGGGCACCAGAGTCGTGGAAGGAAGCGTATATTACACTTGTACCGAAAACAGAGACTGAAAAGACGCAACTCAAGAACTACCGCCCCATATCACTGCTCAATGTGGATTATAAAATCTTTGCAGATATTTTGGCTAAAAGACTAAAAAAAGTGTTAGTGGAAGAGATTCATAAAGACCAAACAGGCTTTCTCCCGGGTAGACACTTGTCTGATAATATGAGAAATATAATTAATATTTTAGAAAAATTACAAGTGAATATTAATACCAAGGCAGTTTTGATATTTGTGGACGGGGAGAAAGCTTTTGACAACATTTCTTGGAGTTTTATGAAGAAGAACCTACAGGGGATGGGGGTAGGTCAAGGCTTTGGAAACGGTATAAGTGTAATTTATTCAGAACAAAAGGCTAAATTAATTGTCGATAACGTGGTGACGGAGGAATTCAAGATAGAAAAAGGGACACGACAAGGTTGCCCAATCTCCCCATTGCTTTTTATATCGGTCCTGGAGGTCCTGTTGAATATGTTTAGAAGGGACCAATTGGTTAAAGGTATACAAGTCGGAGCTAAACAGTACAAATTGAGAGCATTTGCAGATGACTTAGTATTGACATTACAGGAGCCAGAATCTAGTACTAAAAGAGTCTTGGAACTGATTCAAGAATTTGGTCAGGTTGCGGGATTTAAACTGAATAAGTTAAAAACAAAGGTCTTAGAGAAAAATTTAACAGCGATTGAGAGAGAGAGGTTTCAGAATGAGACAGGTTTAACAGTGGTTAAGAAAGTGAAATACCTGGGGATTAACATGACAGCTAAAAATGGGAATTTATTTAAAGACAATTATGAAAAATGCTGGACTGAGGGGAAAAAAGATTTAGAAATTTGGTCAAATTTGAAGCTTTCACTGCTAGGCCGTATTGCTGCGATAAAAATGAATGTATTACCTAGAATGTTGTTTTTGTTTCAAACATTGCAAATTTTGGACAAAATGGATTGCTTCAAGAAGTGGCAGAGAGATATTTCTAGATTTGTCTGGCAGGGCAAGAAGCCTAGAATAAAATTTAAAATACTAACGGACGCAAAGTAAAGAGGTGGATTTGCCCTGCCAGACCTTAAACTTTATTATGAATCAGCAGCTTTTTGCTGGCTGAAAGAGTGGCTACTTCTTGAAAACACAGACATTTTGGATTTAGAAGGTTTTAATAATGTATTTGGATGGCATGCATATTTGTGGTATGATAAGGTCAAAGCACATAAAGCATTTAAAAATCATATTGTCAGGAAAGCATTGTTTAATGTCTGGATAAGATACAAGGACCTACTTGAAAATAAAACCCCAAGGTGGTTGTCACCGATGGAAGCGAAGGCTCTGAAAAAGCTCAATATGGAGGCCAAATGGCCGAAATATTGGGAAATTTTGGAACAAGAGGGAGATAAATTGAAACTGCAGAGTTTTGAAAAACTAAAAATAAAGTGCGAGATTGGCTTCATTATTATCAGATAATGGAGGCATATAATTTGGATAAGAAAATTGGCTTCCAGGTGGAAAAATCAAAATTGGAAACAGAACTGTTAGATTCCAAAACCAAGATTTTGTCAAAGATGTATAACTTGCTGTTGAAATGGAATACTCAGGATGAAACGGTGAAATCTGCTATGATTAAATGGGCACAAGATGTTGGACATAACATAATGATGGCTGACTGGGAACAGTTATGGACCACAGGTATGAAGTTTACGGCATGTAATGCCTTAAGAGAGAATATTATGAAAATGATTTACAGGTGGTACATGACATCAGTCAAGCTTGCAAAAATCTATCATTTGCCCGATAATAAATGTTGGAAATGTAAAGAAACTGAAGGTACATTCTTTCACCTTTGGTGGACGTGCCTAAGGATTAAGGCTTTCTGGGAGATGATCTATAATGAAATGAAAAAGGTATTTAAATATACCTTCCTGAAGAAACCAGAGGCCTTTCTCCTGGGCATAGTCGGCCAATTGGTGCCAAAGAAGGACAGAACTTTCTTTATGTATGCCACAACAGCAGCAAGAATTCTTATTGCAAAGTACTGGAAGACACAAGATTTACCCACTCTGGAAGAATGGCAGATGAAGGTGATGGACTATATGGAACTGGCGGAAATGACTGGCGGAATCCGAGACCAGGGAGAAAAGTTGGTGGAAGAAGATTGGAAGAAATTTAAAGACTATCTACAGAAATACTGCAAAATTAATGAATGTTAGAATGATGTTGGATTGAAGTTAAATGGTTTCTAGCCGCAATGTTATAAAGGAATATGTAAAAATGGATTGTTAACAGGTGATAATCTAAAGTTACAATATATTAAGATAAAAGATTAAGATAGAATCAAAGAGGGAAAGGATTTGCTGAATTAACTAATTTGAACTGGAATACAAAAAAGGGAGGTGTGAGGAGGTCGGGGAAACAAGCAAATGAAAGATAAGATATGGAAAGACTAATCTGTTTTTTAACTGTTTTTATTTTGTATTTTTATTTTCTATTTTTTTTTCTCTTTTTTTCTTTCTTTTTTCGCTTATTTTTGTAATATGTTGAAACTTTAATAAATATCTTATATAAAAAAAAGGACAGCTGTGAATCCAAAATGACTCCCAGGCTGCGCACCTAGTCCTTCAGGGGCACAGTTACCCCATTCAGGACCAGGGAATCTTCCACACCTGCCCGCCTCCTGTCCCCCAAAAACAGTACTTCTGTCTTGTCAGGATTCAACCTCAATCTGTTAGCCGCCATCCATCCTCCAACCGCCTCCAGACATTCACACAGGAACTTCACCGCCTTCACTGGTTCTGATTTAAAAGAGAGGTAGAGCTGGGTGTCATCCGCATACTGATGAACACCCAGCCCAAACCCCCTGATGATCTCTCCCAGCGGCTGCATGTAGATGTTGAAAAGCATGGGGGAGAGGACAGAACCCTGAGGCACCACACAAGTGCCTCCACTTTCTGAACACGGCCCAGGAGGAAGGAGCGGAACCACTGTATAACAGTGCCCCCAGCTCCCAGCCTGTCTAGACGGTCCAGAAGGATGTTATGGTCGATGGTGTCAAAAGCCACTGAGAGATCCAGTAGAACTAGGATACAGCTCTCACCTTTGTCCCTAGCCTGCCGGAGATCATCAACCAGTGCGACCAAGGCAGTTTCAGTCGCATGATGAGGCCTGAATCCCGACTGGAAGGGATCCAAATGGTCCGCTTCTTGCAGGCGTGCCTGGAGTTGTTCAGCAAGCACTCGCTCAATCACCTTGCCCAAGAATGGAAGATTTGAGACTGAGCGATAGTTGGCCATCGTGGCTACATCTAAAGATGTTTTTTTAAGAAGCAGTTTAATAACCGCCTCTTTCAGCGGGTCTGGGAAGGCTCCCTCACGGAGGGAAGCATTCACCACCCCACGAAGCCCATCACCCAGCCCTTCTCGGCTAGCTTTTATAAGCCAGGATGGGCAAGGATCAAGGAGACAGGTGGTTGGTTTCACTCGTCCAAGCAGCATGTCCACATCCTCGGAGGTAACAGATTGGAATTGATCCCACGCAATTTGACTAGACAGGACTCTAGCACAATCCCACCCCAGCTCTGCTCCCACGGTGGCGTCTACCTCTTCCTGAATCTAAGCGACTTTATCTGCAAAAAAACTTTGCAAAATCACTGCAGGAGATCATGTGGCCCGTACTGGGCCCCGATGTAGCAGGTGGTTCTGCTAAATTGCAAACCACCTGAAAAAGTCTCCTGCTGCTGTTTTCTGCAGATGCAATAGGGGTGGTGAAGAAAGTCTTCTTCGCCATCGCTACTGCCACTTGGTAGGCTCGACATTGAGCTCTAACCTGTGTCCGGTCAGCTTCAGAATGGGTCATCCGCCACCGGCGCTCTAGCCGTCTCAATGATTGTTTCATTGCCCTCAGATCCATGGAAAACCACAGGGCTGTTCGGGCTCCATGCAATCGGAGAGGGCGCTTCGGAGCCCAACAGTCAATAGCCCTGGTTAACTCCACATTACAGCAGGCCACCAGGGAATCAGCTGAAAGGCCATCAACATGGGATAAAGCATCCCCTACCACTCTCTGGAAACCATTTGGATCCATTAAGTGGCGGGGGCGGACCATCCGAATCGGTCCCACCTCCCTGCAGAGGGGAAGGGTCACAGAGAAGTCCAGTTGCACCAGGAAGTGATCTGAACATGGCACTTCTTTCGTTTCGCTTTTACTTAGTGTCAGATCACCAACATCCATAGAGGTAAACACCAGGTCCAAGGCATGTCCGCAGCTATGGGTTGGGCCAGACTTATTCAGGGACAGCCCCATGGAGGCCATGCTTTCCACGAAATCCCAAGTGGCCCCTACTAAGGTCGTGTCGGCATGGATGTTAAAATCCCCTAGGACAACCAAACTAGGTGTCTCCAGGAGAACATCCACCACAATCTGAAGCAGCTCGGCCAGGGAATCCTTGGTGCAGCTGGGAGGTCGGTACACCAAAAGGAATCCTGTACTGCCCCTATTGCCTAACTTCCAGAACATGCACTCAGACAACTGGGTCTTTCCAATAGGACGCCTGGTGCAAACTAATGACTTCCTAAAAATCACTGCAACCCCCCCTCCCCGCCCACAAGGCCTGGGTTGCTGTGCGTAAGAGAAACCTGGTGGACAAGCAGTGGCAAGGACAGGCCCATCTGCTTCATCCAACCAAGTCTCTGTTACACATGCCAGGTCAACTCCTCCATCCATGATCAAGTCATGGATGGCAGTGGTTTTATGAATCATTGACCTGGCATTGCACAGCAGCACCTTCAGGTCATGTGGGTATCCCTTGCTGATTCTAGTATCCGTCCAGTCAGGACCAGACCCGGAGGCAGGGATAGTCCTCAAACAACGACTAAACCTGCCTCCTCTGTAATGGCATGGTCTGGTCTTAGCGTAACTCCTCCTCCTATCTGTGATCATTGAGATCGGTTGTCGCAGCGCATCCCCCCCTGTGGAACATGCCCCAGCCATTTTGTTGGCTGGGACCCACTCCCCGGCAGCCCTGACCCCTCCCCTTAAGATCAAAATAAAACCTAAAAACAAAAACAAAACAAAACAAAAAAACCCAGAAAATAATAAAAAATACAAACAAAAAACTATAAAAATTACAAATCCATCAAAATCAAACAAATTCCCAAGCCCAACCAAACATCCACCCCACCCCCCACCCCCACATACAAAAAAGTCAAAAGGGAAAGGAAAATTTTAAAACATTTTAAAATGAACTCTGCGCCCTCCGGGTCCTCCTGGGCAGCAGCAGCAGTGACAGCAACCGTCCTTGTGAGGCCTGTCAGGCCCCACCCTGGGCCGGGTGGTGAGTGGCAGGAGCAGGGCCCTCAGGCACTCACACAGGGGAGTCCTCCTGGGCAGCACAGCAGTAGCAGTCCTTGTGAGGGGTCAGGCCCCACCCTGGGCCGGGTGGTGAGTGGCAGGAGCAGGGCCCTCAGGCACTCACACAGGGGAGTCCTCCTGGGCAGCACAGCAGTAGCAGTCCTTGTGAGGCCTGTCAGGCCCCGCCCCGGGGCCAGGTGGTGAGTGGCAGGAGCAGGGCCCTCAGGCACTCACACAGGGGAATCCTCCTGGGCAGCACAGCAGTAGCAGTCCTTATGAGGCCTGTCAGGCCCCACCCTGGGCCAGGTGGTGAGTGGCAGGAGCAGGGCCCTCAGGCACTCACACAGGGGAGTCCTCCTGGGCAGCACAGCAGTAGCAGTCCGTATGAGGCCTGTTAGGCCCCACCCTGGGCCGGGAGGTGATTGGCAGGAGCAGGGCCCTCAGGCAGTCACACAGGGGAGTCCTCCTGGGCAGCACAGCAGTAGCAGTCCGTATGAGGCCTGTTAGGCCCCACCCTGGGCCAGGTGGTGAGTGGCAGGAGCAGGGCCCTCAGGCACTCACACAGGGGAAGCATTGCAACCATGCAGGGCTGTCAAGGCCTTCAGGCTGAAGAGCCTGCACCTGTGGCAGTGCATCAGGAGCTGGCCCCAGGTGAAGCCCTTCGGGCCCCAGAGGGGCTTGATGACTCAGTGGCCACAGGTGAGCCTCCTCCAGGGCCCAGTAACCCTTCGGCCTCTCCTGATCTGCAGAGGCTTAGGGCAGAGGCCGAAGGGAACTGGTTGCCCCCAGGAGGAGTGCTCGCCTTAAGGCCAGAGGAGGCGGGGCTCCTGGGGACCGGGACCGCCCCTGGCCTTAGAAGAGGATAAAAGCCCAGTCAGCCCGGCCCCAGGTTGCGGGAGCAGCGGCGGTGTTGGCCGGACCTTCCTGTGTTCCTGATCCCTGCTCGGCTTCCTGTTCCTGACTATCCGGTACTCCTGTTCCCTGCTCGGCCTCCTGTTCCCGACCATCCGGTGTTCCTGTTCCCTGCACAGCCTCCTGTTCCAGCATTCCTGTTCCCCGCCCGGCTCTCTGCCTCGGACCTTGCCCCTCTTCGTGTGGACTCTGCTACACCCAAGGTACCTTACCCCTGGGACCAGCACAGTTTGCTCCCGCCCAACCCGCACTCCCCCTTCGTAGGGGTGCGTTCGGGAAGAGCCAGAGGCCATGGCTGACCAGGCGGCTGCACTGGTGGCTTTGGCCCAGAAGAACCAGGCCTTGACTCACACCGTGCAGCAGCTCAGTGGCGCGGTTGTGGCACTTCAGCAACGCTTGGAGGCCCTACCGGCTCCTGGGGCCGGCGCCTCGGCTCCTGGCAAGTACCCAGTGGCTTTGCCTGAGAAATTTGATGGAGCCCCGGCCAGCTTTCCCATGTTCCTGGCCCAGGCCAAGCTGTATATTCAGGGGCGAGCCCGGAACTTCCTGACGACCGCACCAAGGTGCACTTTTGATTGGTTTGTTAAAGGCCCAGGCGGCCAAGGGGGCGGTGCCGCTACTCAGGCAAGACTCCCCCTTGCTGGCAGTCTATACGGGGTTGTGCAATCGTTTGGTGGCCGCGTGCGGCACGCCCCAGTAAGGGAGTCACGGCAGCCGGGCGAGTCGGCGTTTGAAGCAGGGCAAGTCCACGGTGGCCGCATATACCACGGAGTTTCGGCTGTTGGCACAGGACTTGACCTGGAATGATTCGGCACTGCGGGACCAGTATCTCGAAGGGCTTTCGGACGAGGTACTGGACCAGTTGGCCACAATGGAACGCCCCACCACGCTGGACACTCTCATTCAGCGGAGTCTACAAATAGACGACCGGTTGGAGGATCGTCGTCAGGCCGGGGTCGCCGACACTTCCAGTTCACGGCACCAGCTTTTCCGGCAGCCCCACGGTCACAGCTGATTTAACGGAGGAGCCTATGCAGCTCGGGGCAGTGCGGCCACGCCTTTCCCCCGCAGAGAGGCGCGGC